AAGAATCCTTGAGACTGCCTTGTGAGGTGTTGTTTAACTTGTTTTGTTACTTCAAGTTAACCATTAACAATTAGAGCCACATGTAACCCTCATGAATATATATTTATACCCTCCATGTATGTGCATGGTCTTCGGAGTTCTAAAAATAACATTTTATATTTAAAGCTGAACTCTGGAGTAAGCAAATATTGTCTAAATAGAAGAGACGTGCATTCTTACTTTGAACGTTGGTATGCTTTGTATTGTTCTTCCAGATCTGTGCAGTATTCCAGTGTGAAACTTTGTCTCTGTGCAGGGGCTTCCTGTAATAAATATCAAAAAAAGGGGGAAAGAGAAAGAAAGGGGCTTTGTGGTGACCACTGGAGAATAGCAGGGAATTGATCCAATAATAGTCAATTGATTCATATATATAATAAAATTCCATTTTTAATGTACTCAATTCATAATGTCTATACATATAAATATGCTAAAATTCATCCATATAAAAAACCATAAATAGATGTATACCATAAATAACCTCCCTGGAACCCACACAGAAACCATGATTATAAATTCATATATTGGTCATTGCCCTCATTGTATTCATATCTTATTTGCATGATTAATTGTACATAATTGTTCTATATATCATTAGTTCAGCCGTGATTCTGTGCTTGCTCCAGTCTTCAACGCGTTTCGCCGAGGCTTCGTCAGGAAGATTTGGAGAGGTTAACTTAATTATTCTTTTTCCGGTAATTGAATATCCATCTGCAGGAAGTCTCCCCACCCAACCAGGAGACAGGAGCGCCGGGGGGAGCCAGTCCGAAAGCAAGGAAGCCAAGCATCCGTCCCAATCGTACCTTGTACTGGTGAAGCTCCTCGGACTGTCAGGGGCAATTCCTTCTCTCAGAACCTCCAACTGTCCCCCCTCCATGCTCCCACTATGCAACCCCCATGTCGTCCCATTGACGGCATCTAACATGGGCAGATAGGACCTACTTTGACGGCATCTAACGTGGGCAGATAGGACATGGGGGTTGCATAGTGGGAGCATGGAGGGGGGACAGTTGGAGGTTCTGAGAGAAGGAATTGCCCCTGACAGTCCGAGGAGCTTCACCAGTACAAGGTACGATTGGGACGGATGCTTGGCTTCCTTGCTTTCGGACTGCCTCCCCCCGGCGCTCCTGTCTCCTGGTTGGGTGGGGAGACTCCCTGCAGATGGATATTCAATTACCGGAAAAAGAATAATTAAGTTAACCTCTCCAAATCTTCCTGACGAAGCCTCGGCGAAACGCGTTGAAGACTGGAGCAAGCACAGAATCACGGCTGAACTAATGATATATAGAACAATTATGTACAATTAATCATGCAAATAAGATATGAATACAATGAGGGCAATGACCAATATATGAATTTATAATCATGGTTTCTGTGTGGGTTCCAGGGAGGTTATTTATGGTATACATCTATTTATGGTTTTTTATATGGATGAATTTTAGCATATTTATATGTATAGACATTAGGAATTGAGTACATTAAAAATGGAATTTTATTATATATATGAATCAATTGACTTTATTATTGGATCAATTCCCTGCTATTCTCCAGTGGTCACCACAAAGCCCCTTTCTTTCTCTTTCCCCCTTTTTTTTGATATATATTGCATATATAGGGGTGGTGTCCCAGTTTGTGTGATGGTTCCTAATTTTTGTATTACAATTGCTTCCTGTAATAAAGACCAGTCACTTCAGCTCAACCTCCCTGTGCAGGGTGGCTGGTCTTGTCTCCGTCCCCTCATGTAGTTCTCTACAGGCAGCCTGTAGTGTCTGGGGTCTGTTGGATCCCTCCCACAGCTCTTCTCTCTGCATAGGTTATGTTCAGCAAAGTGATTTAATTGTGACGTTTACAAAGTAAAAACTGGTACAATCAAAGTGGATTGGTTTCCTTTTGTGGCTACCGAGGAATATATTTAAATCAGAATTTTTGCAATAAAGCTCAGCTTTACCAAGGGGTTTTCCCCAGGTATGTGGTTAATGTACCCATTCAATCCTATGATCTCTTTTCCTGAATAATGCAGCTGAAACAGAAAATAAACCCGTCAGAAACCCAAACAAATTAAAATGGAGCCTATCATGGAAAAAATGACAGAGCACGTACAGTAAAAAAAACACTGGTCAAAATGATCGGTCTGGCAACCCATCACTTTACGGGGGCCAATAGAGAGGCTCCAGAGCTAGGGAAGGGGTGGGGCTTGATTTTTACAGGAAAAGAAAGATTTGCATGCAACTCATCAAATACTGTGAGGTGGATTGATCAAAACTGGAGCAGACAGAATCTGGAGGATTTGCCCATGGCTGCCAATCAGCTTCTAGCTTTCATTTTTAAAGTTTCACTGAACAAACTGGAAAGAGAAGCTGATTGGTTACTATGGGCAACTGGTCCAGTTCTGATAAATTCCCCCCATTATGTAGTGATCTATTGTATTCAACATCACCATGGCAGCACAGGAGTGACTTATTACTCAATATATGAGTCATTCCATTGTGTCTGCATTCTTTAGGAATAGATATAACAATTAGAAAGCAGAATGTGGTCAAATCCTTACTCCATGTGCGTCTAAACTGGGATCCAATACTGTAGTGCCAAAAAAGTTCTTAGCTACCATCCTGCATGAATGAGAATTGATTTGCAACAGAGAGAGTGTACTTGCACATCCAGAATGTATAATGATCACAAATAAGGTCAGTGGTCTCACAATTCTTTGTAACTACAGTTCAGTTAGGACCCAGTAATGGATTTGTTGGTAAATATGTATCAGATGCTTAAAATGTGTTTGTAACACATGGCAATAATCTCTGAAAATTTTCAGGGTGACATTTATTATCTTTTTCCTTACATTTACTGCTACCAAATCTAATATAGTAAATAGTGCTCTTTTATGTCATTTTAGTTTAAGGTGACACTAAACTCAGGAGTTAAACCTGAAAAATGCATTTAAGTACACTAACTATTAACAAAACTGTTAATCTAATCTTATTTGTGTATCACTCGGCTGTAGATCCTCAAATCATCTCTGAATTGGTGCTGACACTGTCCTTCCTTCTGGAGGGTGGCTACTTTTGTTCCCCATGGTCCGTGTGTGTTGTCAAGAAACCACCGCTCCAAGCTCACTCCTTTGACTACAATCTCAATTTTAGTTTGCTAAATTTGTATGGAGATTGTAGTCCGTCACAGGAGTGTGCTTGGAGCAGTGGCTGCTTTACAACAAACCCAGGGACCATGGGGAACAAAAGTAGCCCCCCACCCCCCCTCCAGAAGGAAGGACAGTGTCAGCACCAATTCAGAGATGATTTGAGGATCTACAGCCGAGTGATACACAAATAAGATACATTTTTGTTATTAGTTACTTGAATTATTATTATTATATGCAATTTTAAGATTTAACTCCTGAGTTTAGTGACACTTTAACTATAACTATAAAATGTTCTGTAAATAAACCTGAACCACATATTTGCTGGTAGTAGGACTAGTTTTCCTCTGTTCATGTTCAGCTAGATACAAAATTAAATTATACCACTTGATATTATAATATACATATTATACTTTATTATATTACTTGATACACATGGTTTCACTACAGTGAACTACCTATCATCCGGCATTCAAGCAACCAGCACTCTCAAGCAACGGGCAAAAATAAATAAATAAATCCAGGACATAATATATCCTCAATTTTTTATTTTTGTTGTTGCTTGATAGACCAGTGCACATAAAAAAAAAATGTTAACAATTGCATTTATTTCGTTGCTAACGAAATTCTCTGTTTACATCTTACTGGTGGCTAGAGTCTGCAGAGAAGCGGATCTGAAAGCGAACTTTCTCTCTCGGGTCCGCTTCTCTGCTCCCTGGGTGGGTGCATTAGCAAGCCTGCTATTGGCAATTGCAGTTTGAAATGGCCTATAGCAGGCTGGTTATTGTACCAGCTCACTGAGCAGACGATTTTTTGATAGATAAAAGTGAAGCTGAAAAAACTCTGGAAGTTCTGAATTCTATCATGGCTTGATATAGTAATTGCAAATTATTTTAATCTAGTAGGAAATGAAGAAACCTTTTTGGAGTTTTTGTGCCACACTGAGGAGTTTTCCCGTCAACTTCCTGTTTTGTAGTCCATCTGTTGGCAGTTTTAGGCTCAGAATGACATCTTTATCTTTTCTGTAGATGATGTAACTGTCATGAATTGACCTGCCTGGAAGTCATAAGTGTTGACTACTTCTATAGGACGTTGCAGAGACAGATCTTTTGTGAAAATGTTCCTTTTTAGACTTTCAGATTCACTTTATTACACATTCAGTTATTCATTACAAATCAATGCAATCTGGAATCTGGATGTTGTATTGTCAGTCAGTCTTCAAGCTGATTTTGCAGTCTGATGATCCCTATGATAATTTTTCTGTTTTAAGATACTTGTAAAAAAAAAAAAGAAACCACTGAATAATAGTGTATATACATTCAAAAGAGCCAGGCCTCACCAATAATCTTTTATTATGAAGCATATTCCAAAGTCTATGTAGTAAGCTGTTTTAAGTTGAATCTCCTGTGGCTCCTGTCATAACCATAATAGTTTATTTACCTGGAGGAGTGTATATAAAGCTAACTTTGGATGCAGTAAAAGGTCAGAGAACTCATCTTTTTCTTTCTATGTGCCAGGACCACAAATTTAAAAACTGCTCAAAACAAGATTCTACTTCAAATGAACTGCAGACATTTTCCAGCATATTGACAGATATGTACAACTGATGCTACAGTTTGTATCAATTTGGAACATTCATTTCAAATTGTTCCTTCAAGTGTATACATTATACAATTATTGCTGAAGAACCCTATACCTGTTCACTCATATGAAGCATGCACACGTTTATCCCTGGTTTACCTGTATAACTTTCATTCTTTTGGAGGTGTGTTACAGTATGTTGAACTGTTCCTAATAAACCATTCTGTCTTCTATGTTTGTTCTTTTTTAGGTCACCAAACAAATTTCACAATGTTTGATGGGGACTATGACTACCTCATCAAATTCTTAGCATTGGGAGACTCTGGCGTTGGAAAAACCAGCTTCCTTTACCAATATACAGATGGAAAATTCAATTCGAAGTTCATTACAACAGTAGGAATCGACTTCCGGGAAAAAAGAGTGGTGAGTTTTTTTTAGGTTTTTTTTTTTTTTTTTAACTTTGTTTCACTTTATCTTTGCAGGTTGTAACAAGAGAGCATTTAGGAACTCTAAGGCCTTGTTCACACCTAGGCGTATTGCATATGCGCGTCTGTCGCGTTTTTTTACCGCGATTCGCGGTAAAAAAGTTGCGCGTTTCCGAAGGCTACTTGGCTGTAGCCCAATGGAAACGCGCAACAAAACGGCCCAAAGTAGTACCTGTACCTTTTCCGGCGTGGGCTGTTTTGTAGCGCGTTAGGGACGGGCGGAAATACGCCAAGGTGGGAACGAGACCATTGAATACAATGGGATTTATATTTTTGAGCGTTTTGTCGAGCGTAGAACGCGCTACAAAACGTTCAGGTGTGAACGAGGGCTAAGCAGCGGGTACTTTACACATATCTTTCCCCCACGTTGCCAGTGGTATTCACAATTTAGCATTATGGAGTTCCTTGGCTCGCTCATTGTAACTTCTAGATGGTTGTACATTCATAATCTGCAATACATTTGTTCTGTTAATATATTTTCCTTGGCATAAGTATAATTGCTAAATGTTGTGGGAAATCAGTCCGGGATTTGCCTTACCTTTAAAATAGAATTAGAATAGTAATCACTTATTTCATGAGCTCATAAAGGGACTTGGCCCTCCTATGTGATGTGTGCCCATTCATCTCTTGCCTACCTTCTCCAGCCTCAGATTTCCAGTTGTTTTTAGGCTTCTTTGACATCATCATCATTTTTCCTTAGTCTATTAATACCTCTTCTGTCCTCTTGTTTGCCTTTATACATTTTCCTAACATATCTCTCCTCTTATGTCATCTCAGGCTGTTAACTTAGTGAACTTAGCTCACCTCCCCACAGCCACTGCTTATACTTTCCTTCTGTTTGCTGTTGGAGCCAGATGAGCAGGCCCTGTGTAAGCTTCAAATTGGTCTACTCAGAGCCTACCCAGGATTGGAAGCAAGAGGGGTCATTTGGTATTATCCAACATGATTGGTTGCTTCTTCCTGCAAGAACAGTTAGCCAGGGATGTCTATAAAAGTGCAAGAATCCAAATCATCCACACACTGATGATGTAAAGTTAACTTTATTGATGCTCAACATATACTACAGAGTTCTGCCTCCAGTCCACCCTCTATAACGCGTTTCACCCTACATGGACTTAGTCTTGTACACATTGATGTCATTTGTGTGCAGCTAATTAAGTTTATAGGACTTATGTGCTTGAATGGTTGTATGCCAGGATTGAGCAGTGTCTTTTTGTGATTTGATGACCGGGATGTCTGGCTACAGATAATCACAAGCATCATGCCATACGATACCATTTAGTATTGTTAGTAGTGATGATGTGGAACAACTTGCCTGTCCTTGGTCAATATAGGAATAGAGAGTTTCTCTGAACATTATGGAATAATTAAAGGCACACACAATTTAAGCTACAATGTGCATTCAGTGTTCTAGTTTTCACAATTCCTTCCTGCTATGTACATTTCTTGAGAAGTTGCCTGACTTTCCTAGGTACAAAATTGTGACACAGGGTAACTGTTTTTTCTTTTGCTCAACCAGTCATACGGGTTTACTTGATATAGATACTGCATTTGGCAAGTCCTTCATTACTGTATCCTGTAGCTTCCAATAAATTAGTCTTTCATTGTTTGAGTGTAATAAACCAATAAGATGATATCATGATAAGATAGCGTAATCTTAATGCTGTCTATGACTTGTTGCTATTTGCAGAGCCTTAGTACATAAAGGTGGCCATACACTTTACAACCATCGCAAGACATTAGTCTTGCGATGGTTGTAAAGTAATTAAAAAAACATACGATCTGCCCATCATAGACAGGCAGATCGTACTTGCGATGACCGCAATGCTGAACGGGCAGTGTGCGCGTGTGCACACCGGCCGTTCGGCATTTGTCTCCCGAGCATCATTCAAACCAGCTGAAAATCGTAAGATTTTCGGCTGGTTTTCTAGCATGCTCCTCGGACAAAAGACGTGCGACCGTACAGTAGAATCGGTTGCATGTCTTCATTCACACTGCACGATTCTCGTACGATCGTGGGATTTCCTGTGATTCTCGTACGAGAATCGTGCCGTGTATGGGCACCTTAAGATAGGCAATTGTTGTCCAACAAATGCCAGTGTAATAGTTTAGCCTAAGTATTAGGGATACACCGATGCCGGTGTTTCGGTATCGAGTACCGATATTTTTTTTTAATTTTTTTTTTAGTACTCGCTGATACAGAGTGCTGAGGCTGCCTGGCTTCCTGACCAATCAAGAAGCTGGGCGGTGAGTCATGAGGTGCCGCCCGGCTTTTTGATTGGTTAGGAAGCCAGGCTGGCTTCCTAACCAAACAGGAAGCTGGGTGCCACGTCATGACCCGCCTCCCAGCTTCCTGATTGGCTAGGAAGCCGGCTTCACTTGTTCCTAGGCAGCCTAGCTTCCTGACCAATCAGGAAGTCGGGAGATGGTTCACTACGTGCCGCCCGGCTTCCTGATTGGTTAGTAAGCCAGGCTGCCTAGCAACAAGTAAAGCCAGCTTCCTAGGAAGCGGGCTCCATGCTCCCTCAGCGCTGCCGGTCCGGAGGAGATATCCCACTCCCCAGAAGTTCCGTTATCGGAGGTAAGTATCGGAGCATTTGGGCGAGTATGAGTACTCACCCAAATACTCAGTATTGGCACCGATGCCAATACTAGTATTGGTATCATGCATTCCTTCTATGTATATTCTTTGTCTAATAGTGATCATTTTCCATATATAATGGTGGATTTTTTTTTAAATAAAGACCTCTGTTGGAACTCCCCATTTTAATTACATTCCTAGTCTTTGCATTGTGTTTTTCCTTTTTCATATGCAACTATAGTTTCTAAAACTGTCAACTGATTGTTGAGCTAGTCATGTTTCTGTTCTGGATAAACAGGAATATTCACATTTTTGTTGCATCTTAGTAGATGTTTGTGGAATGTAACTTCTCTGAGTCTCAAGCATAGTTATTGGTTGTGCAAAAGAGAATACTGATATGCGACTATGCTGAATAGTATGCTCCAGTGAAGATGTAACATTGAGCAGCCGAGTGGAATCTTAGATGCTCAGGGGTTGTTTTTTTGTCCAGGATTTTCTCTGTGCATCCCATTCTTCTTTTTTTCCTCCTAATTTTGGGGGTCAGAGAACCCTTCTTATTAACTGATTGTAATGCAGGAGATTAATTTCCAAGCATATCCACTGGAGGCTACCTGTTTCCTCTCTCACATACAGAACACCTAATGTATTGGTGCTAAGAACTTTCTCACCAATCCATTGAAAATCCAATGGGATTGGTGATGCCGGAAGCAAAGAGATTAGGTTAGTTAGCTCAACCTTCAGAAAGTAATTTCCAGTGGCTCTGTAAGGTGTCTCTGAATTCTGCCTATAGTAGGTAGCAGTGGTTGCTTGTAAGCATAAGTAGCTTACTTTTTATGTGTTGCCCAGAATTGCTCTTTAATGTGACCCTGAATTTGTTGGTAATATGTTGTAAAATTTTATACCTGGAGATCTTACCGTAACCTCACTTCCTGTTGTAGGCAGATGAGGCTAAGCCACTGCCATGTAATTAGCTGCATTGTCAGCCGACCATCAGGCTATGTATACCTCCTGTAAAGCTAAAAGGGAGCTTTACAGGAGTGCTCTGAAAAAGTGCTCATGTCAGGCTGATGATGCTGCTAATTACAAGGCAGCATTGTAATGTAATGTTACTGGCAGGATCGCCAGGCAACTTTGCAACAGATTTACAAAATGTGATTTAGGTTTTACATACGCTTAAACAATTCTGGCCAGCCTTCCATTTCGACACTGCATTTCTCCTAAAAATATTATGCAGACACTGTTTGCAAAGTCGATATTTGCATAAGGCTAGTTGTTGTGCTAGACCCATGAATTGCAGGGTTGGACAGAGCTATTGAGGTAGGAGGTACCTTAGTGTGCCTGGTATATGTTGCCAGTGTTCCCCAGCTATTTATACCTTCAGCTGGTAAGTTAGAATACGTGGACGTCCTGTCCTTAGCACAGTGCATTGTGGCTGTATAACATTAGCAAGTCACGGACTGCTTTTTACTCATTGACTGAAATTGCACTGGGACTATTCCATATTGCCATTTGATCTTCATCCTGTGACATCTTTATCTGCTATCTGTGGCCCCTAAGTACAACTCATATTTTTTTTTTTTTCTACAAATCTGTCCATAATTTTTATTTTTTTCTGTCTTTCTCTGTTTTTATGAAACTTTAGTCTTCAATGTAAACATATCCTGTTAAGACCACTAATTTTCCGTCACCAGTTACTGTGTATAAAACCTAATATTTCTAATAAAGAATGTGTCAGTGTTAGAAGTGAATGTAATATTAGGGAGAGCTGTATCTTTTACTAAACTCATAGTTTTCTGTCCAGTTATCTCACTGAAGAATGTTGCCCTGTGTCTCAATTAGCCTAAATTTGTTGAAAACCTGAAGCAGTAGGCTGCACAGCATACTATATAAATGTCAACTTTTAAATTCCTTCACAGGAACGAGATGTGAATATAATATTTATCTACTCTCTCAAAGCCATTTTATTTAATTTTATTTTTGAATGCCAGCTGGAACTTTTTTTAGGCTTAGGTAGAATGAGGAAGAGTTGAAACTTTTGTCAGGTTTTTATTGCTGTTTTGTATTCACGTTGGTTGTACTCCCAACACTTCCTATGCTGCTAACCCAGAAGCAAGTAATGAAACCTCAATGCACATGGGCGTCTGGGGATTCGTGCGGCAAGAATATTGCATCCAGGGACATCTCTCCCAATATTCAGGTAATAATACCTTGTACGATTACATGCGGACAGGTGCAGCCGCTGTCATCCTGTCATTAAGTTTAATGGACACAGCGATGCACCTGTACAGACTCACCTGAGATTCCTGTCACATGAATCCACAGGTTCCTGCCACAGGAATCCCTAGACATCCATGTGCATGAGCCCATACCCTTCCCAACAAAGTTTTGTGTGTGTGGCAATCTACTTTTAAACTGAAACTTGATGCAAGAGAAACTCTTTACAAATAAAAGGTTTTGGTTGATTGTGAATACGTTGTCTTCATTGCTGTGTTTGTACTGACATTTTTAATTTAATAATGCATGTGCAGAAGAAAGATACAAGTAACATAAAATAGGAAATTCAGAATAATAATGTCCTGGTTGATAATGCTCTTTCCACAGGTGTATCGATCGAATGGTCCTGATGGTATAGCTGGAAGAGGTCAAAGGGTTCACTTGCAACTTTGGGACACAGCTGGTCAGGAAAGGTGAGCTATATCAGAACACAATGTAGACAGGGACGTAACTACAGCTATAATGGTTACTGTGACTTCTATGGGGCTCAGGAACACAGATCGTCCAGCTTACTGAATCCCAAATGATTCTTCTAGCCATCCTCAGAATGTAGTCAATCTATCATAAAATTCACGTTAATAAAGATCTGTTCTCTCCAAATAGCTATACCACTAATTAGTAAACTACAGTATTGGTTGTTACTTTTTAAACACTTAATCCTATCACTGCCAGGCCCTCTGGAACGCTTTTAGCCTCAGCTGGCCACACCATTTTTGCAATGTTTCCCATTGTTTTTAATTTCTACTGCTGCATTGCTAGCGTTTGTAAAAGACCCCCCCCGAACCATATATTTTCTGAAAACACAGGCCCGGTAAAATAAAAAGATGGTGCTACTAAATTTGTAGGTCCTGCGATAATTGCGCAAATGTTTATCAAATTAATATTAAACCGATAAAATGACTGAAATAAAATTAGTATCTGTGCACACCAAAAAAATATTTTCCGACTAAATCTGAAAGATAAAACTGTATTGAGTTAATAAATAACACATTTTTGTACATTCAAAATTCCGCCTTTTTGCAAAAAAAAATGACTGTAAATACCTGAACGATCTGATTGGATGCAGGCATTGTTCAGGTGTTTTGAGAGCCAGCAGGGCTGACTAGCAAGATAGTGAAGCTTAGCCCAGTGGGAGATTCCTCCACCTACACAGTTTAGCGTAGATGGAGGAATCTGTTGCACGTTTTCTATCTGACCAATGACAATCTACAGATAATAAGGGAGCCTTACAGGAGCGGGAGGGCATCTTAAGACGTCCTGCCCTTCCCCCTGCACGTGCCCAGTGCGCACACGAGTGGGGAAACTGTCAGCCATGCAAACAGCCAGCGATGGCTGTTTACATTCAAGCGATCAGGCGTCTCTAGACGCCCAATCGCTTGTACTGGCTGCGGATGTGCGCCCCATGCCACCACTGCTGGTCCCAAGATCCGCTGTGCCTGGTGCGGCTGGGACCGGCACAGCTATGCTGTCAGTGGAGATCAAATGAGATCAGTACACAATCTACCTTTTGATCTCTGTGTATTACATCACTTCCTGCATTCAGTGTTACCCTCCGGTTACAGATGCCGTAGAGTAGCTGAAGAAGCAGATCTCTGCTTAATCAGCTTCTGTGGGGGTCCCTAGGTGACATTAGGGGTCTTCAAGACCCCTGATGTCTCCATAAAAAGGACCTGTTATGTGAATTGGCTATCACATAGGGAATTTCTTAGTCCCCTATATGATAGAAATAAAGTTAAGTGTAAAAACAAAAAAAGTTTGAAAAAAATAAAAGCATAAAAAAATAAGCTAAAAAAAAGTAAAATAACACCATTTTGTTTTTTTTACAGTCCCCCACATACACACGCAAACATGCATCGGGTGCGCCAACGTGCAAAAACGACGATTCCGCCTATTGTGCCGCACATGTTACATATCGCCGCAAACGTCAGAATGAGAGCAATAATTCTAGTGCCATTAATCACTGATGACACTAAACTGATGAGCGGTAAAAGCTTTTAAAGCATCGCCTATGGCCAATTTTGGGTATTGTAGTTATTTGCGATTTCGCGGGCGCGGCAATTTTAAAGCTTGACATGTTTGGTGTCTATTTACCCGACGTGACCCCGACTTTTATGTTATAACAGATAAATTGGGTAATAAATGTTTCATAACATTTCATTGGGAAACAGGTTTTTTTTTTTAAATTTAGGGTACACTTTTTGTTGTATAGTAAAAAATAAAACCCCAGTGGTGATTTAAATACCACCTGAACTTTTCACTATTTAATATATTTAAAACATTTTCGGGGGTTTGTCTTGCACTCTTTTGCAACCTGTCTGCCTTGAATCATTGCAATCGTTATTTCCTTTTTAAATATTTTGTTATAGTCTTTGTAGCTTTCAAATGACAATAGTGTTCCTTCATGTTTATATTTTTTTAAATATAAAAGCCCTAGTGCCAGTGGGGGCCTGCAGGATCCACTGAGACTAGCCGTTATCCCATGATTAGCCACTATCCCAGCCCCATTCTAAAAAAAAAAAAGGTTAACGGCAGACACTAAAGTGTTGTTTTTTCTAATTATTATAATATTTGTTTTAACTTTTTAATATTTGCTAAGTGGAAGAAAGGCTGTTGTCTCACATTTAACGGGTTATGTGATCGGTTTCTTCCTCCTCCAAGCACACGCCCCCTTGCCCCATTCATTAGAATAAATGTGGCTTTCCCTGCTTCAGAGTTCTAAAAATAGTGTTTTTAAAGTGAAGTTCTTTAACTTGCACCCTAACACTTAACCCTTTAAACCTCTACCATTAACTATTTCTAACCGTACCTGTACATGAGACTTGACCACATTATACGGCAAGTAAAAGTCGAGGCTAAAAACCTGTTCTGAGCTGTCCTGGCTGTGGGAGCAAATTTCCGCCTGAAAAATTGTGGCGGTCCAGCATGCGGGAACCTTGGCTGCTGGGCATGGGACTGTAGGAGTTTCTGAATTTTTAGTGAAAGCGGAGATCACCTTTTAACAGTATACATGCTATGTTCTGGATATCCAGGGATAGCACATACTAAAACTAGGTTGGGAATACTTTGTTTACTCTGTGAACTTATAAAGTGAATGATTTACCAGGTTACCATTTCAGCTTCAATTAGTCTATTGTCAAAACTGTAGTAACAAGTAGCTCATTCTATGTGATTAGTAACGCATTAAAATTCCTTAAATGGTGGTGCTGTCAGGTTCTAGATTAAACAAAATATATACCATTGGGTCTTAGGAATACACAGCTCTCCTCATTAATGTGCTAGACTCGGCACACAAAGAGGTAGAGAGCAATCCAGTGCTGAAACACTCACTGAAAAACAAGCTATAACCTATGAAAAATGCACAATGTGCTGAAGAGATCGCATGAAGGTACTAGAAAAATAAATGTTCCTAGGACAGCAGCTGGAGTGTGAATTTAAGTACACATTATGTGCTGACAAAAAAGACAAACAAGTATGTTGTTTTCCACTGAAGGTAAAAAAGAAAAGTACCATTTATCTTTTCTTTCAGAAATACTTGAGATGTTTAAAGTGTATCTGAAGCTTGAATTGATGGCCTGTATGGTAAACTGCAATTCAGATGCTGTTAAAATATTGTGCATCACCTCATTTTGGTTTCCTTAAATGGAATTTTACCCATATCTTTAAAATAACTACAAAGGCACCTTTAGAAATGCTTAGTAACGGCAATCTACAAACAGATACTTCTAGGTAATTGCCGGCTTTTTATTCTTTGCATGCCTTTTTTCTCTTTTCTTCCCCGGTCTTCTGACAGTGGCCATGTTTTGGCCATGTTTACTAAGGGCAGATTAATATATCTCCCTTTTCTTCCTGGAACTCTAGGACATGTGACTATGCACATCATCCCAAGGGAGGAAAATGCCTTTCCCTGAGATCTCATGAGATTTCCCACCAATGCACCGCTGGTGTAATCTTCCCAGAATGCAATGCTTTGGCACATTACATCATTTGTGCAAAAGTGGACCAGGAAGTGTATGAACTGTATTTGTAAGTAAATGAAAAACATGTTGGTTTAACTAGCAAGTGTAATATGATTTTAAATTGGCATGTTGATGTGATTTTAGTGAAAGGGGGAAAAGGTCTACTTTAATTTGGGAGATATTTTAAAATGCAGGTTAGCAGCCATAGGACAATCTACACATTGATAGATTATGTGCCTGTTTCCCTGGCTATACGGTAGGATGACTGACAGCAGCACAACAGGGAACAGGGAGATGTGAAATTGGCTATTACTAGCATCCATGTTAGGTTTAACGTTTCTGCTAATCAGAAATGCTTAACTCTGTATCAAACTTTCAGAACTGTTAAAACCGCATATGAGATTTAAATATTAACATTAAGACATTACTGTTGGATGCATGAAAATTCCAAGGAAAGACATTTTGAAAGAGTGCTTAGTAAGTTTTTTTCTTTAAAGTCTAATTGTTTGAAACACGGTTTTGTTCGCTAGTTTACCTGCCAAAGAATTTTAAATTCTAATTTTGCTAACCAGACACCCCCCTCTTCTAGCAGCCTGCTGATTGGATGATTGAGGAGCAGCAACATGTTGATCCATTACGTTGCTCACTCTGCCAGTATGTCTACTACCCATATGGATGTTCTTCAGCAGAGCCTGATCGCCTTAGAGTGCTCCCTTTCCAATTAAGAGTGCTGTGATGTAGAGAATTATGGGAGAATAATATCGGACAGATATAAGTGCTGATTTTTAAAGAACATTGATGCAGCAGACCAGGGCCAACTTTCAGCTTTAGAAGTTTATAGTAAGAGAGAAAAAAACAGTGGGGTTCAGCACCTCTGCAAAGTAAAAGAAAGCCCTTCTATAGTGCTGGTTCCTATGGTTGTGGTGACTAGTGATTTTCCCTGCTGGATGAAGGTCAGTCACCACAAGGCCACACAGAAAACAGTTGTTTCCTATGTGCCCCATCCACATCACAATGCTGTGAATGCTGCTTTTCCCCCTCATACTGGATGGCACTGGAGGCCACTGCATTGCACCACACCATGCTGTTCTGCAGAGACCTTTCAAACTTGCAAAAAAAAGAGGTAAATGTTTTACGTGTGGCTGCTGTGAACAGCCTTAGTGTTAACTTACATTCTCTCTAGGTGCAAAGGAAATTTCCTCTCCTTATTTGACTGCATAAGTGGAAAGTTTCAGTTTAAAATAAACCTGTCCTTGATGCAAACTTATTAAACTACTAGCATGGCTAAAAAGGTGCTTTCAGATGCCTCTGGAGTATATACATGGTACAGGACTGGTTTTAAGCGCAGAAAGATTTGTTTTTCTATCCATTAATTCCTGGAATTTACATTGCTTTGCTAAGTAGCACTGCCAACGTAGTGTTTTTTTTTTTTTTTTATATGAGTAATGGTGCCCATACACTGTGTGAATTTTGGCTAGTTCTTGAGGAACCGGCCGAAATTTGCAGTGTGCGCCGCTGTCGGCACCCTTTCGGTCAGCATCCCTCAATCAACTGATCGAAGGAGTCAGCCCGAAAATCTTTGTACGATCAGAGCCGGCAGCCAATGAGCCATCGACTCTGTTCGGGTATTGCAATATAATGCAAACAGCGGGATTGTAGTGTTGATTGAGGAATCGGCTCTACTTTTTTTGCTGAGCCCGTGGGTTGAACGAGAAAAATAGAGCAGTGTATGGCCAGCCTAGGTCTTGTCCCTGCCCCGAGCCTGTGACTGGACAAGGAAGAAGAAGCAGCAGACTGATTATCTTATCTCTCTTGTCTGCACTCTGCCCTTTCTTCCTATTAGCATGTTCATCAGTATCATGTGAGTTCTGCACCACAACTGATTGGCTCCTTGTACTACTTCTCTCCCAGTGCTTACAGGGGACTCTAGGAAACGAATACAGAGTCCAACTCCGCAACTAAATGCTTCTAAAAATAGACTTAAGGGTCTATTCATAATGGATTCGCTGTGCAGCTTACCCAGGGAATGTTTGGTGGACATTCATCCGCTTGTGTTTTACAGCATCGGGCCTTTCTTTTTCAAAGAGGATTTCCCCTCTGGGCATATCATATTTGAAGAGGACTTGCCTTAAAGTGTATTTCCACTTTTGCAGTCAAATTTGAGAAAACCACTCTCTATGTTATGTTTGTTCACACCGCATACTGAAAAATAACTAAAATACAAAAAACAAATCTTACTTTAGATGTTATGTTAAATGAGGCAAGATGGCTGATTCCAGGTTTTTCTCAGCTCTTTTACAGTGGTCTGTCCTAATGGAAAGGCTTGAAACTGAAATTTGAGGATTGTGTTTATCTGATAAGCTTCATTAACATACAATGGGCTAGCCAGCTCAGACCCCCTCATGTCTCACAGCCCCTCAGAACATTTTAAAGACATACAAACAAGAAGAGATTTTAACCCTTAAAACCCTAACACAAGTAAAAGCTATTTTCTTTTAGCTTATGCCATGTGAATGGGAACATGTGACAAATATAAAATAGGCGTTATCTCAATTTTGCTGCGAAATTGCAAATACACAATACAATGATTATGGGTACCTGCATGAATTGGTGCTTTTATCTGCCTGAAGTTCAGCATTAAAGGGGTTTTAAACCCTCTGTTTTTTTTTTTTGCCTATATCTACTGCTAGCAAGAAGTAGATATATGCAAAAAGTTGAAAAAAAAACGCTTTAACAGCGGTTTAAACTTACCTCGTTATCGCTGCGCGCTCCCGCCCGAGAATCCGAAACTGCTCGGGCGGCCGCAAAGCATCTTAGGGCGGGCGCATGCGCAGTTTGGATTTTTGGCCGGGAAACGAGCAGAGACGCAAGGTAAGTTTCTATGTACTCGTGCACCCGCATGCAGACACCACGGGATCAGAAGTGCTTGCAGGGACAGAGGAGTCAGCGCTGGATCGGAGAGCAGCCGCACCGCTGGAGGGACAGATGAAAACATCAGGAAAGATACACTGTCATTATTCAGTTGTCTACAACAGGATGCCTTCTGGATACTACCGTATGTTTCTGGAGGAAATAACTTTGTTACAGAGTTGCATGTAATCTTGTATGTAACAATCTCCCAAATTATGTTAGAGTGAACCTGTGTTCACTGTATAGGAAACCAGTACTGGAAGAAATTTGTAGACTACTATTGCTGACCTTCTTCTGAGAAAGCTAGTTTCCTGGCTGTTTCTAGCTTCAGTATATTCTGTGTGACTGGAAGTGAACAAATATACACCAACTGTAGTCAGGGCTCCTGATCTGTGTACACCTTACAGGTCAGTGATGTGTTTTGCACGTTTCTTTCAGGGTAAGTATAGACATATAGTGGTGACCAGTGCGAACACCTGACCTGCATACTCGCTGTAGCCAGAGGAACAGGATGGTTGCCAGGCATCGCAGGATGGTTGCCAGTCTGCATTTACTACCTACACATTTGTATTAGTACAGGTTTCTTATAGAGGCCCTAGATATACCACCAGGTATATGTTATGTATGGAGTGCAGTTTTGAGGCATTAATGTGGAAACCGTATTTTTTTTCCCCCCTAGAGTTGTTTAAAATTGTAGAAATAGCTGCAGATAGCTGAGCAAATACTGTTCAAAAACAGGAAATTAAATACTAGCTTTATTTAATAAGACCAGAGATTTTGTGTATTGTAAAGCTTTTGTTCTGGTACAAAATAAAACAGAGCTTACATATTCTTGACAAGATTTTTATTTTTTGCAGCATGAAAAATGATTGCTTATGATTTTCCTTCACATGAGTTGTAAAAAGACACAAGTGCCAGTGCTGTCATATGGCTGCAAGGCCATTCAGCTCAATGTTTGCTTTCTCCTATCGTATGGGAGAATGGAGCTACCATCCAGCTGCCAAGATATGATATATGGGCACTAGGGAGAAAGCTGATCTATATACTGTAAATGTCTGAGTCAGATGGTGTAAGGTTTAGATGAGGCCTTACACTTACAAGTAGGGATGCACCGATACTTTTCGAGTACCAGTGCAGATACTTGGCATTTTCATGAGAACTACCAGGGTTGCAGCGGTTGCAGCTGGGACCTGGCTCTGGCACTCCACCACTGTCCTGAAGTCATTAGTCTGTATTGATTTAGGAAAACTGTCCACATTACAATAAACATAAATGTATCAGTACTTGTATTAAAACAGGGATGTACAAATCCCAGGAGCTCCGTGTGCTCCTTACAAATGACAGCTGCCTCCTAACTTTTGAATTTATCTCTAGTTTAGTCTTGGAGCTGGAAGAGTATCTATACTTGTACCGAGTACGGTACTTGGTATTGGTGCATCTCTAGTTACAAATGTTTTCCACTACTCTGTGTTTTTGGGTTTCGCAGCTTCTCGGCAAGGTCAGTTGGTCTCCACAGTGAGCTCAGGCATCAGACTCTCGGTGACTTTTGGTGATGCAGTACAAAAGTTAACAAAACAAAAACAAATGACACTGTCTAACTATACAGGTGGCCATACACTATTTTCGGCTGGAAATTTTCTTTTCTGCCACGAACCCCCCCGGTCGATTATAGCTCAAATACCCCGCTAAGCAAAGTCGAAGCTCGATTTCGGAAATCCTTAGCCATACTAAGCAACCAATTTTTGACGAACAACGGAAATAATCCCTTTTGCGCATTGTGCTGTATTCTTGCTGAGATTTTTGACGAACAAAAAGCCCACTGAATTGATTTTCGTTCGATCCGAAAAAATGTTCCAACCTGACCGATCAAAAAAATTCGATCACAGTATCAAAAACGAAAATCTGCGATGTACCATAAACTGTTCGATTTTTTTATACAAAAGTGTTCGTGTATGATTTTCGTCCAAAAATCTACTAGTGTATGGCCACCTTTAGGGTTAAATACAGACGTTTTAGTTGCACAACTTTGCAAAATGTGTTGAAGCCACACTGCTTTATCAGGGCCCCTCTGTGTATTGTGGTCCTAACTCTAATCTATGAGAGCCTCCATCTTGGAGCATACTTGGCAAATGATGATTTGGATGCAGGTCCATCAGTGGGCAGCCCAACCTCCTTAAAGGCACAGGGACACATGAGAAGCCCAGCACATCATAATGGCAGCTGAAGCCCCCAGTGTGTCCCCACATCAAATCCAACAAGTGAAACAAATGGCACTCATCAATTCATAACTAGCTTTAACGTAAGGTGCACATGGAAGGGCTTTACAAAGTACAAAAGCAAAAATTTCCCAGCACACTTGCCACCTGGTGATGCAGGGCACACATACATGTGCCCTGCAGTCACCAGTTTGTTGGTGAGCGGTAATATATATACGCAATGTAGAAAGACCTTTTATATCTGTTGTCTGAAGGGTACATGTTGTATACAAAATGTTTATATAAGAATATGTGTTTCATGTATAAGGAGACTCCCAGATGTCTGCAGATCACAGAAGGGGACCTTGGAAGCTTTCAAAAACATTGAATTAGTGTGTGTGCTTTTTCAGCAGCATGAGCTGTAGCAGCCTTGTCATCCAGCTTTGTGGCATCTCTACCCTCCTACCTGTTGTAAATTAGGTATAGCCCTTGGGGGAAACTTGTGCCACAGCACTCATGAGCTGGATAAATACATGATCTCTGAGACCAGGTGAGCTAATGAGATAAAGCTCTTGAGAACAAGCAATTGATAAAAGAATTGGTAAGTCTGTAAGTGATTTCAGTAGTTCCTTACTTTTGTTTTCTGCTTGTTTTCCAGGTTTCGCAGCTTAACAACAGCTTTTTTCAGGGATGCAATGGGATTTGTTTTGCTTTTCGATTTAACAAATGAGCAGAGTTTCCTGAATGTCAGAAACTGGATAAGTATGTACTTCAATGATGCATGACTAAACCTGTCGCTGTTTGAAAGATGAAGCAGCCAATTGTTTTGCAATATTTAGCCCATCCATTCACTAAGAACTAGGGCTGCAACTAACAATTATTTTCATAGTCGATTAGTTGGCTGATTGTTTTTTCGATTAATCTGATACAAATAAATACCACCCTTAATTTAAAATAAAATACACAAACGGAGTGTTACAAACATAGTTTACTTCAGAATAAAACTGCATGCACAATTTTTTGCAATCGCACAGCACTAAAATGCACGGCATTGTGGTACTGCATGTTCCGGTGCGGGTGATCGCACCGCAGGTGGGAGGCGTGTTGTTGTGCCATTGAACTGAATAGCACCACAATGCACCTCCAGCACCAGAATTTGTCAGGCTGAAACCAAAAATGACCTCCCCCCCCCCATCTTTTTTTAGTCCCTTTTTTTTTTCTTATAATGTGGGTGGGGAGCTTTTTTTAACTTTTTTATTTCTGTTTAAATTTTTAAATGTTAATTTATTTTTTTTTACATTATTATTATTATTATTATTATTAGGGGCTTTTGGGAAAATATCAATATCTAAACAGACCTCTATTTCCATTTTGAAGTAAAAAACGAAATTGAGGTTCAAAGCACCTACCTACACACTCTGGAGCAGACTTTCTCAACCCAGGGTTGTGTAGAACCTTAGGCTGGGTTCACACCTAGGCGTATCGAATATGCGCGCGTTCTTCCGTTCTACCGTGATTCGTGGTAAAACCGCGTGACAAACGCGCGTTTCCCAGGGCTACTTGGCTGTATCCCAATGGAAAGGCGTGACAAAAACGCCCCAAAGAAGCTCCTGTACTTCTTTGGGCATAGGGCGTTTTGTAGCGCGTTCATACGGCCTGTAATACGCCCAGGTGTGAACCATACCCATAGGAAATAATGGGATTTTGGTGTTTGAGCGTTTTGCAGAGCGTTCAAACGCGCTACAAAACGCCCAGGTGTAAACCAGGCCTTTGGGTTTCTCCAGAAGTTGCTAGGCTTTCCTTGAGGAAAAAGCAGTAGCCGATTTGATCTACCTAAACTGACCAATGTAAGGGATCTCTTCTACACTGACCACCAATGTAACGGGTCACTACAATTTTTATTGTGTTTCTGACTAATATTATTTTATTATTTGTTTCATGAGTATTGATGAAGATAATTTATTCTTATAGAGTGAGAATGTTAAATACACCCTATTCTTTATTTGATTTAAAACTGTCTACAGCCTACTGATTATATACCATCTGGTGTAAGTATAATATTTTTGTGGGGGATTCCCTGAGTCATGAAAGCATTTACAAGGTTTCCTACATTATAAAAGGGTTGGTAAAGCCTGCTCTGGTGCCAGTTTAATCAGATGCCAGGTAATGTGTTCCAGGTAGGAAAGGAACTAAGAACCTCAGTGCCACTCCAAGAATTAATTAAAATTCAGATTTTGCCTTTGACGGAATCTAGATATATCCGTATGGCTCACTAGAAGAGCGGGGAACACCCCTGATCTGCCCAACATTTTTTTCATCCTAGGACAGAAAGCTTATGTAGGCTTCATAATGCCATCATTGTACATAATATGTAATGTTTTTATACTAAAAATTGCCACTTGAAGTTAAACGATGGGTGCAAAGGTGGCTGTATAGGAGATAAACCTGTATTGGATGGCTGCTGGCCCAGTACACAAAGGAGAAAAACAGAGTTCTTTTAGAGCTTCCATACAGATACTGCCATCTTGGCAGCCTCAGCTGAAAAAGTTGCATAGCACCCAACAGTGTATTGCCTGGTTTATCCCAAAAGTTTCCTTTTTAACATATTTTTATCAAATTTTTTGTTGGCTGTCTTTTAACCTACTGACATTTTATGAAACCTAGGCTTTAGTTAGTTAATGTAAAATGTACTGCCCACGGTGTCTGCATATCTTATTTGTTAAAGGAAGTTTAATAAGCCTTGTGGTATTTCTTGTTGTGAATAGCTAGGAACACCCTCCTCTTCTGTAAATACTAGGCTGCCTAGATAGATTCTCAATTCCCACCCAAGATTGAGAGCTGCAGATTAGTTATGGAAACTGCAGCACAAAGGAAAAAGGCAGATCTTTCTACTTCATCTTTTGGCATTTAATTAACATTCTGCAATCAAAATTAATTTAGTGAAAGAGAATTCCCAGCTGCTATATCGTTCACAGGCTGCACACTGCTGTGGGTCACCCTTTCACCCTTTTTGTCATTCAAAAAAATATTCTCGCAACTACCGGTAACTCACAATCTAAGAAATATGTGGGTTTTGAATGAGGTATTTTTTTGGTTATCTGTTTTAGGACAAAATAAGATGCTGAAAATTAGTACATAGACTTTTATCTCTAATATGCCATTGCTGTCCTAATAAGGAAGTACTGTACTGCCTCTTAAAGATAACATCCATTAAATGTATTTTTAGGTTTTAACAAATATTTAGTACATCTCTGCAATTTACATTTACTTGTATTTTATTCCTTTAAATTGCTGCAAATGCAGAAAAATACCCACTGAGCTCACAGTGCCGCTGCTGTACTGAAATCCCACCTACCCCTTTCCTCATCTCCTTAAGATCTCATTCACACAAAGCGTTTTGTAGCACCCTTTCTGAGCAGAAAAAACACCCCAAAAAAACCATGTTCACAGGTGAGCGTCTTGTCGCTTGTAGCAAATACCCGTCGTTCAAAGAAAGTAACAAGCTTCTTTTTGGCAAATCCTGTGCTTCTTGGTCCCATAGACTTCAATAGAAACACTCAAATATGTGCGTTCGCTGCGTGTTTGCACTTTTTTTACGTGTGTAAAAAGTGCATTTGTCAACTTTTAGTGTGCCACATTCTGCTCATAAAAACGCGCAAACTTTATGTATGTGCATTTTTAAACACATATGTGCAAAAACGTGCACAAAACGTGCTGAAAATGCGCATATTTTGATTTCGCTCAGGTGTGAATGAGGGCTAACAGACAAATGTGTTCTGTAGTCTAGCAGGGCAGAACACAGAAACCAAGGTATTATTGTCTACTAGCTACATGTTGTAAGAGCTCACTGGATTTCTAGCAGGGTCAACCGATATTGTTCTGTACTTTCTGCCCAGATGTGCACTTTCAGTACTTTGACTCCCTCGCTTGTATATCCATTAGGAACCAGTTCACACCATAGCATTGCAGTGCAGGATGCTATTCAAATTAATAGCAATGCAACCCACCTAATGCACGGTACCCGCATGCTAGGTGTGATAGTGTGCCTTTAAACACATGGCATCCTGTGTTTAGCGAATCACTTTCGTGTGAACTGGCCCTTAAAGCAATTTTTACGTTTCTGATAGTGCCCAGTTTTTTCTGCACTAAGGTAGTCATTATTAGGATAACAAAGATATATACATATATTGTTTCAGGACAAAAAACTTTTTATTGGTGATATTATCTTGCAAAAAACCCCCACATTTTTTCATATTTGAGACATTTTTAAAAGTTGTTACTGGAGTTAAAAAGTATACTTTTTTAACTTTTTTTTTCTACAGTTGGTAATGTACAATACCAGTAAAATTACGTTTTTGATACAAACAAAAGAAAAAAATTAAAGGTAAAAAACAAAAATAAATTGCAGGAAAATAACTAAGGGTAGTTAACTAGGGCTGTTTAGGATTAATAAGGGGTTACATTTAAAAAAAAATTTTTTTTTACATGTTACATTTCCTTTAACTGGCATCATATGCGGATCGAAACGCACCATTTTAATCTGATGATGAAAGAAAGAATTAATGCAAAGTAACAGTAATGTTACTGAACAGTGTTTACAAAAACTGATCAGAAGGTATGTTTTTGACAGCAGCAGCTAGAGCCAGCTGCTGTAACAGTAAGGCCCCATTCACACTGAGCGATTTTTGTAGCGATATCGCTCATATTTCCACGCGATATCACTCTATGTAGCTTCTCCAATCCATTTCAATGGAGCTGTTCACATCTTGCCGCTCAATATCACTTGTAGCTCGTCGCTCCTACATGACCCTTTTTTCTGTGGATTTCGAGCGATTTTGCTCCTGATTGCACACAGCCCAATAGGAAAAAGTTGCGCAATATCACGCGGAAAATCGCACGATTTTCACCTCTGATCGAAGCGCTGAAAAACGCTCAGCAAGAGAAATCCTATTGAGTGCCATGGGCATGGTTCCCACCTGGGCGTATTTCAGCGTGATTTGTCGCGCTGAAAAACGCCCTACGCCCAAAATAGTACAGGAGCTTCTTTGGGGCGTATTTCAGGTATTCCCGAGTGTGGCTCGGGGTTAACAAAGCGGTAACCCCGAGCCACACTCGGGAATACAGCGTAGGTCTTACCTTGTCCGCGATCCCTGCTGTGTCCTCCGCGAGCGGGTTCCATCCCTTGCGAGCGTCCGCGTCGCAGGGGGGCGGAACCGGCTGGAAGTTTAAAAAGTAACAAAAAAAAGATAGAGAAAAAAGGGAAAAAAATCATACCGCCAGGGAGGTTAAAAAAAACCAGCGTCGCAACGCACGTTTCAGTGAACAAAAAAACGTGTTTTGAAACGTGCTAAAGACGTGAACCCAGCCTAAGTCCCGGCTGTTATTTTGATATCTGGGAATTGGTGGTAGAATTGATTGCGGGAGAGAAAGGTAGTGTCAGTTACGTCCTGTATACTTTTGTGAAGTTTTTTTGGGCATGTGCATCATGCCTAAAATTCGAGATTGGTGAGGGTTATGCGCTTTGCGTTAGGGTAACCCCTTGATTTTAAATCGGACAGGACCCTTTCTTTGTAACGCAATGCATAGCAATGCACTACAACATAGGTGTTCCGGGGAAAGTGCATTGGGGTGCCATTTAGAACGAATGCCACCACATTATCTCCTGTTGAATTTTGCCAGGTGTCTTGTTGGGGCTGGCCACGTCCACTCTGCTCAATAGTGATGGACTGGTAAGTAGTCCTTTGGACCAGTTTTTTGGCAGG